GACAAGCTTATTCTGGTAAACTTTTCTATCTGAAACATATCTCCTTTTCCTGACTCAAGCTTTCGAGTTAATTTCTTTTTAAATTTCTACAGATTCCTTAGGCATGTTCCCCTTTTTAATGAACCTGCATGGAGATTTGAGTGGGATAACATCTGCAACACAAATCTGGATCTATCCAAGTGAAACCAATTTAAACTTATTAAATTGCTGCAGCATTCCAGGGGCCCTGATTAAGAGCTCCTCCAGTCCAAGAGTTGAATAATTTCACTGCCACTTCAGGCCATTTGATGTTTTACATTATCTCTAATGGTGTCCTTTCAGACTAAACATAATCCCATAAGCAATGCTGCTGGCTTTTTGGGTTATATATACTGGACTTAGTAATGCTCTGCTGTTCCTTGGGGCTGTGTTTGTTAATTCTTCATCTTGGACAGCTGGTACATTCTGGCAATAAGCTTACATAAAGGAGATGGATGAATTCTTCATTAGTAGGATTGATTAAGTTGTCATAAAATATCTGTGACGCAGATGACCTCAGACCATATTATACTTGCACCAAAATTTATTTGGTTCCAGTTCCAGTCTATTGAAAAAGTACATATTCTTCCATTCCTCGTAGCCACTACAAGGCTGTTGAGGAGTCAGAAGGTCTCCTACACATGCTGACAAATCAGTCCCGATCTTCGTTCTCCACACTGGTGGGCTTATGGTGAGTGTAAACTCTCCTCTGCCAATCTGTAGTGTGTGTGACCATTTATGAAGGAAGTGAGATGGGACTTTTCCCACACTGTCACTGCCATTTCTGATAGGTCATTTCTTCCACAGAAATCTTGGTCACCAATGCCCTCAACTTGGCCAGAATTACCATAACTAATACAGTGCTAGGTGCTATTCTGGTAGTCTGCATATACTAACCCATTTCAAAGATTCTGTGAAGAAGGTATTGTAATTATCTGTATTTTGCGGATAGAAAGACTTGAGGCCTAGAAGCTAAATAAGTACTTTACCTAAGGTTACATGGAGTCAGATGGATTCAGTGAATACTCAGGTCAGCTGCTTGCCAACCCTATGACCTAGAGATTTGTTTTATAACCTCTTTCAACCCAAGTTGTCCTTATCTATAAAACTCAGTTACTGAGAGTACTTGTCTCTCCTTTAGTTGTTGTGAAGATTAAATTAGATAACTTATATCAAGTGCATACCAAGTGGCAGGTACACAAATGTTGGCTACTATTATTCTTTCGTATTAAAATAGTCTTAAATCGAGTTTCAGAAAATATCTGTTTTTTCAAATCATTATATTTAGTAGCTGAACTTTCTTCAAAGTTATAAAAGTAAATAGAAAGATCTTGCAATTTTTCTGAATTTGTTTTTAGTGGCTTAATATGTTTCACTTTGAAAAGTGATGTAAAGGTTGAAAACTCAGAACACGTAGCACAGTATTGTCAATCATCTCAACTTTTGAGTAACGAGCTGCCAAGCCAGAGAGGAGTTGAGCTGTTTTACATAACATTTTTATTGAATGCTTTTCATGTGCCTGTGGATCTGTAGTGTTTGCTTAAGGGAATAATTTGAGTCTTTATAACAGTTGTGCATAATGTCATTAATTTCCCTGTTTTATAGAAGAGAAACTGAGGCCCATGGAAATTAAGTAATTTGCCCCAACGTTGCCCAGTTATTGAATGATAGAGCCAGGATTCTAATCCAGGCACTCTGGCCCTAGGTGATCTCTTGACCACGACTAGTTTCCACATTCTGTGTTCTTAGGCATTGCAAAAATGTTCCATTGGCTAGGGTTAGTTTTGTGTATTGACCCTTGGGACTCCTGAGAGAATTGTATAACCACCTTTAAAGTAAGTATGGCTCATAGGGCAAGTCCGCCAATGGATATGAGCAGAAAGAGAGAGATGATGCATTGCTAATAGCCAAACATGATGGGAGGGACTTATTTGTGTCCAAGGGAAATAAAATGGAGTATATATTTTTGATTTTAGTTTTACTAAATATCTGGAGAACCCAGAGGCACTATGCGTTTACCACATCTAAGGGAAAAAATACGCTTTTCTCAGATAGGGGTATTTAAGTCATTTGTATATTTGTAATAATGGAAGCCCCAGGCATTAGGACTTAATTGAAGTACTTTCTTTCCTATATAGCATATTTAGATCCTTTCATTTACACTACCTCTTTAAACGTTGTATTATTCACCCCGTAAAGTCATGACAGATGTGGACACTTACTAGTAACATAGCTTTCACATCCAATGCATCAAGTCCCCCCTCATACCCCATTACAGTCACTGTCCATCAGCATAGGGAGATGATATGGAGTCACTACTTGACTTCTCTGTGTGCTATACTGCCCTCCGCGTGCCCACCCCCCTACATCATGTATGCTGACCCTAATGCCCCTTATTCCCCTCCTCCCTCCCTTCCCACCCACCCTCCACAGTCCCTTTCCCTTTGGTATCTGTTAGTCCATTCTCAGGTTCTGTGAGTCTGCTGCTGTTTTGGGCCTTCAGTTTTTTTCTTTGTTCCTATGCTCCACAGATGAGTGAAATCATTTGATACTTGTCTTTCTCTGCCTGGCTTATTTCACTGAGCAAAATACCCTCTAGCCCCATCCATGTTGTTCGAATCCTTCTTTCAGTTCTTATACCTCTGAACTTTAATACAGTATGGGTTTAGCAGAATACTTGGTAAATCACTTAAAATATCCCTGCTTCAGGTGAGAATACCATCTGTCTGTAAAGTATAGTACTATAATAGGTTTTGTTACTTTTTTATCTTTGGACCAATGCATTGTATCAGCCGAGCTCAAAGAAGAAACCTCCTGGATGGATATAACTTGGCTGATAAAGATGATTAGATTAAAAAGACTTGTGTTCTCCTTTAGTCCCAGTAGCTGAGTGATAACAACAAAATTCAAAACTTGGGTGACAACACTAGATCCTTGATAAGAACATTTATTTGAAAAGGTGAATATTCAGGTTTTCGAAATGTTTGACTTTTTAAAGTCAAACTTTTTAAAGTATATTTCTGATGACTTAGCATAAGAGATTAAAGGATTCTTGTAAACTTTGTCCCTGCACGTCCTTACGCACACTTATCTTCCACTGGAGTTTTACTTGTATGAGCAGTTTTTCAATTTCCCCCTCAAAGTTGTTGAATCCATTGCAGGGACAGCTGTTAAGTACCTGCCACTTTTTGCCCTTAGGTGGAATAGGGAAAGTTGCCATAAAAATGCTGTGTTTTGTGTTATTTAGAGGCTTAAGCTCTCTGGAAAATAACTGAACCCACATGGTTCTTAAGTGATTTAAATTTTCTGGCATTTTCTAAGCTGCTTTGATTCCATGATGTGTCTCCCATTCTCCACAGGGACTGTGGGACTTCATCACACCAGTTTGGCATAACACCTCCAAGACGATACCCAATCCAGCAGGCCCCGTATTCCCGCCTGCTTCCCACGCTGTGCTGGAATGGCGGTCACGGGAAGCGTGTGCTGTCTCCTGGTAATTCCAGAGTGGTGTGCAGGCCTTCGACAGAGAGGAGTGCTCCTCCCGGGAGCAACCTGGCTCGTTTGCCAATGTGAGCATTGCTCGAGGAAAAGACTCCCAGTGTGTCCACTTTATTCTCTTGCAGTTGTTCATCTGACAGAGTAACTGTAACTCAGAGGAAAGGAAAAAGCTCCTTATGTGAAGGAGAAATCTCAAGTTTTAGTTATTGAGCAGTTTTTTATTTTCTGAGTTTTTCCCAAGACTGTAGCTTTAACAGCTAAGGGCCATTTGTGTGAGTGTATAAATTACCCTTTTGCTTATTGGATAGATTTGATTTCCAGCGCCTGAAGTTCATGCTATGGAGCATCATGATCAGAATATCTTAATGCTAGAATCCTGTTTTCTGTTACAGAGCAGCGCAGATCCCTAAGGCCCCAGACCCGTGGTCAAAGGAGGCTGTTCTGCTTGCCCTCGAACGTTGGAA